AGATTGAAAAGTGATTGAAATTCAATTCTATTTAAGCTTAATTTTAACTTACTCTTTTATATGGACTGGTTTTTTTTTGTTGACACTACTTTCAATATAAAAACAAAAACAACTGTTAATTATCAAAGGATAAATAAATATGGATATTTTGAAATAATTAAATAGTAGTAACAAAGGATTTAAATTACTTCAAAAAGTTCTTGAATTTTGACGGCAAAAGAGCAAACATTCTTCTCAATCTAAACAAGAAAAGTCTAAAGTCACTCTCTGGTATACTCTCTGGCCAATCAGCCTGCAATAAACACCTACACAAAATAAATACGAGTATATCCAGCACAAATATTTGTTGATTCTGCTGTGATGACGAAGAGTCTATGGAACATATGATTAACAACTGTGATGTACTACGTCTCAAAAGACACAAAATTCTAGGTACATACCATTTAGAGTATAAAGACCTTTAAAAGCTTCCTCAGAAAGAGCTGGTCCTAATTACAAAGGGGTGTACAATAAATAAAACTGATCTCAGCGTATAAATGGCTAAGATTAATCCATAAACTATTACCAACATAAAGGAGATGAACTAGCTCTCACAGATAAATGTCATAAATATAGATAGGTTGCTTTTCAATTGGGAAATGCAACCCAACTATATATATGGTAATTAGGCTCTTATGGCAAATGAAACGCCTTTTTAATTAGGATTTTTATAGATTAGCATATTAATTCTACTGTGGTTTGTTTTTTTAGAAGACTGTTTCGAAGACTATTTATTTAGCAATATTAGTGAAAACAGAAAATTACTTAAGACAATTAAACTTTTAATAAACATTAACCTTAAATAGCATATTTTTATTCTTTTTTTTTGTGATCAAAAATATAACCCTGAGTTACTAAATAATAAGTATAAATACCGACCTAAAAGATCTATTATGCGCCTAAAGACCAAAATAAAACAATTCTACACTATTTATAAATATCGTAATTGCTGTGGGTTTAATTTTGTCTATTTGATATGGGACTAAGATCCCGATTCCAAGGTAGTCGAGTCTACGTCTTGCTGCCGCTGGGCAGTTGCATAGAATATGTTCTGATGTTTCCTTGTTCTCATGACAGATTCGACAGGAATCACTTTCAACGGCACCTATAATCTTCATATGATAATTAAGTCTACAGTGTAGTGTAAGAAGTTCAGTGTAAATTTTAATATCGTTTTTGCTAAGACCAAGAATAGCATCAACTTTAATGTGTTCAGGATCAATGAATCTTCTTGACTGCCATATGCCTGTTTGGGCTCTCCAGTGTTCAAGTAAATTTTGTTTCTTCCGTTCACATAATAAGTTTTTTGTGAAGCTATTTTTTACCTCGCA